TTGCTTCTTTACACCCAGGTTCCAAAGTTAATCTTATTTTTGGTTGAACCCTTTCATTTTGTGTTCTTCCCATTGTTTCCTGTACATGGGTTAATTTTTAAGGCTTTAAACATTTATACTATCTGGATTACAGTTTCAAATTTTACCTTTTGAATTAAATTAGAGTATGCTAGTTATTCTTAAAACAAATCGGGCTTCAAAGTAAAACAAATTATGCATAATTTTATAAAATATTTACATTGGTGTAAACTTTTCTTCGGTAACCTGGGGGACTGTTTAGCACACTTTAGATGGGGCGATATATTGCTCTTAAATTCAAAGCCAAAAGTTGAGGGAGGAGTAAATGAAATAGCTACTATGAGATGCAATTATCCAGGAAGCTGTGGAGAGTTTTAGTAATTGGCTACATGGATATTTTTGATACCAATATAAGGTCATGTGCTTTATAATATTACTTAGTTCACTAGCATGGCTTATATTTGTTTTATTTTCTTCTATAATTTCAAGTTATAGTTATTACTACTACTTATTTAACAATGCAATATTTACTCCAGTTAGGAAATTCATGATACTAATGGAAACTCTAATAGGTATTCTTAAAAATGCAAGGCAAGCTACAGTTAGAGTGCTGTTTAGCTATGCTGGCCAAATGCAAGTTGTACGAACTTACATTTTCAAAATAATATTTTCATGTCATCACTTAACATTGGTCTTTCATGTTTTAATGATTTTTAAGTTTCATGAGGAAAATAATCCCAAGAAATCATGAGGAAAATAATCCCAAGAAATAAAACTTAATTTCTGTATCTCTTTTGAATGAAATTTGAAAAATAATGAATGTATAAGGTGTTGTCATTTATGGGCTTTAAGGAACCAATATAATTGCCTTAATTCTAAAATGCAGTTTCTTGTCTCGCACATGCTCCTGGAACTTAAACATTTTGGATATCAAAGTAATTTCCTTAGTACAGTTGCTAAAAGGAAGCTTAGGTGGCTAAAATGTTAGGAGAAGATAGAACAAACAGTGTTGTGCAAAATTTTGGGGTGGAAAGAACATTGAATTAGGAGTCATCAGACAAGAATTTAAGCCCCAACTTTCCCACTTATTTCCTGCATTCCCTTGAGTGACTAAGGTGACCTAGGTATGTGCTCTGTACTCACCAATATTACTCTCAACTTCGTAATTCTCACAACAGCATAAGAAAATATGAATAACCTCAGAAGTATGGAAACTGAAAACTTCAAATTGGAGTTAAGGAGGGCTTAAATTAAATGAAGTACTAAAGTAATCCAGTCTAAATGGTATGCAAATAACCTGAAAATTTACCAACGTTCCTCCAGTAAGTCCCCAATTGGGAGAACAGACCACAGTATCTTGCAAAAGTGAAAATGTTTAATGGAAGATAATGCAAGCCCCTCTAGTTTTCAGTAACAGCATGAGTAATTATATTGTACCATCACATTTGTGTGTGTATGTGTCTGTGTGTGTGTGTATTTTTAATGGTATTCATTAAATTTAAAATAAAGTAAAGAAAGAAATTATGTAAATCCCAACTCAAATTCACACATAAATTCAATTTCTTGTCAGTGACTATGCTCTCCATTTCAAAACAACTTGAAGAAAAAAGGTTTCAATATGAATGAACTTTGGTTTTAATGTAATCAAATCACTTCAGTCTGAACAAGCTAGAATGTGTTCTTAGACTCTAAATCAAGCACTGCTTAAATATGTAATGGAATTTTATATGCACTGCATGTAAAAATGCACCATAATACAATACACAAACACAATTGTACACACACAAAATCAGTGTGCTGTGCTTTCCAAATCAAGTCAAACATGTTAATGTTGAATTTGAAACTCTTCATTTTATGGAGCTAAATATGTATATTTAGCTAATCAATATTCTGAAGCAACTGATTGAGATTTATAATATATTTCTGTTTGGAATAATTATGTTGAGATATACATTTTCAGCATACAGATGTTAAAAGAAAAACTGAAGTGCATACTCTTACTAAAGTCATGAGAGCATATGATTTAAACACAACAAACAAAACAAAAAATTTTTGAAGGGCCATATTGTCCAATGATTTCTCAAAAAATTGTATGGTAAAATATCTGTTTAGAAATAATTATTAAGCACACTGGATTGACTCTTAACCAGATTTTCATCACGAATCCCAAACCAAGTCAAACTTTTGGAATCATCTGGAATGGATACTATTCTGACAAAGTGGCTCAAAAATTGGACTACAAAAATACATTATGGGATGCAGTTTACTGAAACAAAAGTACCTGAATGGAAGGTCTGGTCTACATATTCAACATTCACAATTATTTACTGAGCACCTCTTTTGTGCCTGACCTTGTTTTAGATGCTTCAAATTTACCTCTGAACAGAATATATAAAACCTCACTCCTCTTTCAACTTATTTTCTATTGGGAGATGACAGAGACAAATAAATGACACTTTATGTTAGAAAATAAAAATAATAAAGCAAGGAATAGGGATAAGGAGTGCCTGGTGGGTGTTATTGGAGGGAGGGTAAGAGACATTCAGAGAGCAAGTGACATTTGAGTGAAGATTTAAAATAGGTAGGGAAGTAAGCCATGTGGAGATGGAGAAGACAAGAACTTCAGACAGAGGAAATAGCAGGTGCAAAGGTCCTGAGGCAGAAAGAGGTCTGGGCTGTTTTCAGGTAACAGTGTCATCAGGTGACATGGAAGTTGAGCCAAAGAGATGAAGAGAGTAGGGTAGATCCTATGAGCCTCTTTGGCTTTTATTCTCAGTGATACAGGAAGTAATTGAAAATTTATGAGCAGAGATTACATCATCTGACTTAAGTTTTAACAGGATCTCACTCTACCTTGTGTGGTGCAATTTTATTAGGAAACTAGACAGAACTTTCACAATTAAAGTTTTCTAACTTTTAAAAATGGCTTTTGGACAACTCATATAATTCACATGTGAAAATGTTATATGCTTTCTAAGTGTTGAGTGCCTATTTTTTGGTGTGTTTTTTTTCCTTTTATTGAATGTAGAAAGGACTATTGTAAATGTATGCTTGTTACTTCCACTTTAATGCCACTCACCTGTCACATAAGTGAAACTGTTCCTTTCCATAATGTATGTAAATTACAACTCTTACTAATGCTTTTCACCTCTGTAGAGGTCTGCTCTGAAGGAGGTCTTCTCTAAATTTTCTTGCACATATTCCACGCTCAGTCCTGCCTCTGCCTCTCCGCCCTTACTGCTTATCCTGCCTGGAACACAGTCCCCATCTCCTTTCTGCCTGCCTTTCAAAGCTTAGTTGTCACAAAGACTTCACCAATTGTTTCCCATGCTATTCGCCCCCTTTATGAAATCTTCACACTCAGAATATGCATTACTGATATTTCACACCTATTTGTATATTCCATTCTGTTTTCAGACAGTTTCGTGTGTTTACTTTTTTTATCTAACCAAGGATCTCCTGGAAAACTGGGTCCATGTCTATTTCCTCAGATGTTCAATAAGTACCTGATGGTTGGTTGTTTGACCCACTTCAACCCATTTCTATCAATATGTCAGTCACAGTGAGACTAGGCTATTTGAATCTGGTTTTCAATGGAGGGATGGCATGAGGAAGCCTGAGGGAATGGGTGATGGCAGAGCAAGCCAGGTGAGGAAGACCTTTGTGGTTTTGGGGATGCAGGGCGTCCGTGTCGCTGTTGCCTTTGCCAGGTGCTGAATAGCTTGCTTGCAGAATGGACCCATGCTTTTCTTGCTGTCCCGTCAATTGAAACAACAGTTGATTTATGTGTCTCTTCAGCCGCTATAACTTCAATATGTGTTTTGTCTTCTTGCTTATTTTTCACAATGCATAATTCTTGGTAGCATCCTTCGCAAACACAAAAAGCTCTCCTGTTGGAAGTCATTTTTGATTATGTATTTTAACATATTATAGTCCACTGTAATAATCAATTACTTGATTGACAGAAAATAATTAAATACTTTATTTTGGAGTTGATATATGATATTAATTATGGATTCCTAAGCACAAAATATACACATTCAAAAACCAATTATTATATATGTTTTTTTATTATTTGTGTGTAAGACCAAAGCATACTAAGGAACAGAGAATACATTTTTAATATAGTCCTGGCCAGGTATATTAACAAGAAAACAAACTTGCTATGTCACTAATGAGCAAACTCAAATTGGTTTTGTAAATGGACGTCAATTCTAAAGGCTGAGTAGTAGGGACAGTGATTATAGATGCATTTGTCAAGGCTCTTTACAACTTTTTATTGTCAGAAACAAACATTTGTTGTTATTGAAGTGTTTCGCTTTCATTAAAAACAGAAGTGGTTATAAATGGAATTGAGTGTATTATTGAATTTCAGACCTTACATTCTTTGTTGTGATAGAAGTCTATTTACTTTAGCGTTCTCTTCAAATGAGAACTAACTTTGTAGTCTAATCAAAGAACTAACTGCTAAGATAGCCACCTGGACCAGAGAGAGAGTTCTAAAACTAAGCACATCTTTTGAATGCGGCTAAAATGACCAAATTTATCTCCTGCCTCTACATACAGGCATTTCCTCTACCATTGAAATAATAAGGGAAGACGAGCAAGGCAGATGGAAGAAACCACACTTAGACCCCATAATGCATACTTGAATATGCTTATGTGGGCAATTTTCTTGTTAAAGGGATAAGATATTTGCTGATAATATAATTCAGCTTCTTAGTCCATTAACATTTAATGGTTGAATTTTAGTGAGTAAATGTTAGGGGAAAATTATTTTTTGATGTCACTGTTTAATTTCTAATAAAATCAATGAGTGATTTGCATGTATTACTCAAAGGAAGGAGGAATTCTGTTATTCTATATTATCTCATAAAAAGTTTATAAAGGATTATTTGATTTATTTAAAAAATAATGTAATTTAAAATAATCACAGCCATCTTTTGCCATTGTACCTGACCAATCTCTGTTATATACTTCAGGCATGAACTTCTAGAGGAAGCTCGAAGGAAGGGATTACCTTTTGCCCAGTGGGATGGGCCCACAGTGGTTGCATGGCTAGAGGTAAGAGAATTCAACCAGAAAGCTCTTGATTCAATCACTACTAATTTGGTAATTTTTGTTGTTGTTGTTTTAGAGAGACGGGTAAAGGCAGGTTTTGAAGTAGCTTTCCAATAGACTGTAATATCTCAGAAAGAAAATAATGCTTTTTCTAGGGACCTGTGAACATTGCAATGTAACTGTATTGCTTTCTTGTGCTAGTGGCTGAAGGACATACCCAGTGGATAAAAGGGAGTTTCTCTAAATCCCACCCTCTTTATGTCTGGAGTAAGAGAATAATCAGTTTTTGTGTGGGTTTTTTTTTTAATGGTAAAATAGACGTTTTATTTATTTGTATGTAAACTTATAAACCAACCAGCCAAACTGGTACTATTGTCATGACAGCAAAATACAAAAAAACATCTTTTACAAATACTTGAACAAATTAAAGATTGTAAAACAGCAAAAGGGGCAGAGGAAATCAGTGAAGCATATTATAGCTTAACCATTCACCTGAACTGAGGCTTTTAACAAGCCTCCCAATCCCAGAAAACATGAGTAATCCTTTATCACACACCTTTGTACTTTTACTTTCTATTTCTGAGGTTAAGATTCTAGATCTAGAGTTATCCAAATACTAGATCTAGTATTATATCTAATTATCTATAGCCAGAGGCATCTTTTATCATTTGTCTAACAGCAGCAAGACTATAGAAACCTCTTTACTTAGACTCCAATCAGACCCAACCCCTACCCTCCAAACTGGCACAGTAGGCATAATGAGAAGCAGCATATCAAGGCAGAGATACGTAGAAAAATCCTAGAAGAGGTAATACAGCCACTGCCCAAACTGAGATTAAGTAATACACCCATCATCACACTATGTTCATGGCTATATGTTCATGAACTCAGGCTATACTTTCGAATTCTCAGTTAATCCTGTCTGAGAATAATCAGTTTTTAAGCCACACTTTTGTTGTTGCAGAAAACATCAGTCCCAGCCCATCAGTCCAGGGTCCTTTCTCATCAGCAGGCTGCAGAGAAGAGCCATTTCTTGCATTCTCCCAAAAGATACCACTGCCTCCTAACTGCAGAGAACTGTTCCTTTGCTTATGTTATAATTCCTGAGCCTAGTTCTCTAACATCTAGGGCCCAGCTAGATTTAACCACTTGGAATAAAGCGGAAGATGTATCCTCTTTTTCCCATCTGTGTCTAAATTGAATGTTATGATGAAACAAGAACTACATTCAGCATTCCCTGAACAATGCAGGGGGCTGGGAAAATTCAGTAATACCCGAGCAGGATGGAGGGCATCAGGAGCCGAGTAGGACAATTCCGGAAATACATACTTGACCACAAGGGGTCCCTCATGCTACTTATCAGGAGTGTTCACTGACCCTTCTGGGCTTCTGGGATATGCCAATGTTGAGGCAAAGAAGAACACAGGCTTTTCCTGCCTGCCAGAGACAATTAGAACTCATTGTTTCCAGTGGTTTGGGATTATAAAGTTACCCACATTCATTATCATATCATACTCAGAGCAGAAGAGTTGATCAATGAGAAAAAATTAAAACCCATATGAGTTTTAAAAATGGTCTTGTATAGATAGATATGAAAACATTTTTTTTTTTTTAGCCTGGAAGAAAGAAGCTCTGTCTTGCTTTCTTTTACTCTCTCCTATCAGGTTTTTTTTTTTTTTTTTTTTTTTTTTTAGCATTTTGGTAATCAGAGCTGCTTCTTCCAAACAGGTCTTTAAAATTTCTATGTTTTAGAAATAATTTATAAAACAAAATGCTTAAGGAAGCACCCCTCAAATTTGATAGCTCTTCTTTGATCAGCTTCATTCCAATACAGTGTGCTATACTTTGACAGAGTTAGCTGCTATTTTGGCAAGTGAAGAAAACAATCCTTTAATAAAATAAAATAAAATAAAATAAAATAAAATAAAATAAAATAAACATATTTACTGACTTTAAAGGGTTAGGAAAGGACAGGCAATAAAGTTTGTGCTAATTAAACATCTGAGCATACAAAAATTGCTCATAATGTGCTTCTTAAAGTGACTCCGGTTCTAAAATGGAATAAGTAAGATAAATGAGCAGGGTGAACAATGAATGAGAGCTCCTAACTCTCACCTCCATTAGCACCTCCTGTGCATACAGCTGCTAAGAATGATGCAGAGAAGTAAGCCTGGTGCTTCATACACCATTTATCCACCCCCAAAACTTTCAAAACTTTCAAAAGTCTAATCATGGATGACATTGATAACAGTGTATTGGCAAGCACTTGGATAAATCCAAACATTCCCGCTTGTTTGTTTCTTTGTTGTTTGTTTGTTTTGTTTTATTTTGTTTTGGCAGGGGTTTTGAAATCCAAATATCTTACTTAAAAGAGAGGAAGTGGAAAATAACTAGGGTCCAGCGAAGGTATATGGAGATGTTTAGTTATTTTGAACAACCTGTGTTTATAAACTAAGAGGCCAAGTACCATCTTCAGTCATATCTAATCATATCTGTCTAGGTAAGGTCAATTCCTTGACCTAACCTGCTGGAAGAGTATATAAAAGATTCAGTCAAACACTATACTAGATCCCCTCTCTCCTTTCTTTATTTCGATCACAGCCTAATCCACATTGACTCAAAGACTTGACTTTTTGTGTTTCCCTTATAGAGACAAGTAGCCTTTCAATGTGGCAGACTTTTTTAAAATAAAGGATATCTGTATTAGTTACCTATTACCACATAACAACTTATCTCCTGACTGAGCATTTATTTTTCCTCATGACTTCTGTGGGTCAGGAATCTGGGCATGGCTTAGCTACAACCTCTCTTCAGTTTCTCACCGCCAGCGTGGCAGTGTTCTCAAGGCTTGACTTGGGGAGAATACACTTTCAAGCTGACTCCTGTTTTCACAGTTATGATGCAGTGTCTTGCTAGCTATTGTCCAGAAACATCTGTTCTTTGCCATGTGGGCATTTTCATGGGGCTTCTCACAACATGGAAGCTGGCTTCCAGCAGAACAAAAGCTCTGAGAGGGAAGAGGTGGAGAGGGCTAGCAGGAATGAAGCCTTGGTGTTTTTGTAATCTAATCTGGAAAGCACCATCCCTTCACTTTTATCATAGTCTGTTCCTTAAGAACTCAAAAGAACAAGATTATGCAAGGGCAGGAATATTAGAAAGAGGAGCTCATTGGAATCCATCTTAGAAGCTGCCCAACACAATGCCTTAGAGTAATGAGGCTGAATCCCTTCACTTTACAAATGAGAAAAATAAGGCAGAGGTTTAGAGGGTCACATGACTCACTGATGACAGGGAAGGAATTAGAGTCCAGGCCTTTTGATTCTTGGCATTGCATTTTGCTGATTTATCATTTTTCATCTTCCTCTTAATTCTCACTTCTCTCACTCTCATACTCTCCTTTTGCTCTATCTGTTCCCATCAACAAATAAACAGCCCTCTAAACTTAGTATTTTGGCTATTGAAAAAACAAGGTTTAAACTGCTCATTTGCATGCGCTCTGCTTCTTACTCAGAGCTAAGTAAAAGTATGGCTTCTTACCCATAACTCATGATGGAGGAAAGTGGAGGGAACATTCATTTTTTAAGTATATGTAATTCAGATGCCACGACGTGCCTGTGAATTAGCATCCATCCAGTGCTTAAGATGAGTGTCAGTCACTGTGCTGTGCTCATTGCACTACTGACTCAAATGTCTCTCAAGAACATTACAGCAAACTTGAAAAATTGAAATCCCTAATTTCTAATTCATTACTCATGTTGTTACTCTCTTTAGCTAGAGGTTTCCAGAAGTTTATAAATTTAGTGTCTTTTATCAGCACATTTCATTCCCCATAAGTATATTCATATAGGACATCTAATTAAGTTCACACAAGCATTACATGCTGTAGGTTGATGTGTGATAAATGTGGCTTAGCTACACTGCAGGCTTTGATCAAATTATGGGGCTGGAGGTGGTAGCTGGCACTTTCTGTGACAGAATTTCTCGCACTCAAAATCCCAAAGGTGAATTATAAATTGAAGTCACTCATTCAACAAACATTGATTGAGCCTTTACCAAATGCAGCTTGTAGCTGTTCTTGTTCTAACTCAAAGGGGGGGGGATTTTGTGTTGCACAACTATTAACTTTATCCCTGATAATAAAAATTAGTTGTTACATTGCAGACTCCGGAAACTCAATTTCAAATCTTTATCTCCATCACTGTCTACCTGAATTTTTAAAATAAATTACTTAATGCCCCCATTCATCTGTCTCTTCTGGGGAACATAATAGCATCTATCTCATTGGATGGTAGAAACAAGAGGGTTCATGCACGTGAAGTACTTAGAACAGTGCCTGGCACATATGAGACACTAACGTATTAATTATTACTGTAATCTGTTATGTATTTTTTCTATCCAACAGCTCTGGTTGGGAATGCCTGCCTGGTATGTGGCAGCCTGCCGAGCCAATGTGAAGAGCGGTGCCATCATGTCTGCTTTGTCAGACACTGAGATCCAGAGAGAAATTGGAATCAGCAACCCCCTGCATCGCTTAAAGCTCCGACTAGCAATCCAGGAGATGGTTTCCCTAACGAGTCCTTCAGCTCCTCCAACATCCCGAACTGTGAGTCAATTTGTGCTCCTTCCCTCCCGCAGGGCTGGATGAATAACAGCATCTCTGAGTCCACAAAGCAGAATGGTGGCAGCACACATTTCCATGTGAGCGTGAATTATTCTGAAGAGAGTTAGCTTGCTCTTCATTAACCTTGCTGCTCCTTCCAATAGCTTTTCAACTGCGGAGCTGTGATTGCTATCAGATTTGAAGGCTGCAACCAAATAGACTTTTGAACTAGTCTCTAGACTAACGTGTATTTTTTTTCTTTTTTACTCCCAAGCAACTAGACCCCAAGCAAACTCATTTTCAGGATGTCCCCTTTTTTAATGTAATTCAACATCTCAGGTGATTATTTGTTGGCATTAGTGCTTTCTGAAGATGCAATGCTTAATGCATGGCTTCTGATGCAATTTTAATATTTATGAAAGTACAAAACTATTTGATGTTTTATAAATACCAAGTGGGATACCTCCCTTCAAACTCTGTTAGCTTCTCATTTATAAATCCCTATTCTTCTCATAATTTTACCATATCCTAAAATTAAGAAAGAAAAAATGTCTAAAAATATGCACACCAGCTGACAAATTTAAATACTAAGAAAAACTCCCAAATGATATTCATTCTGCCTTTGTCTAGTCTTGAATGATATCTTTTGCTGATAAAGGATGTGGTTTTGATGTTAACTGGACTTCTCTGGCCCATTTCTTATACAGAATAATATATTATGAAAGAAGGAAGTAAATTTCAGTGGTGGAAAAAAGATAGTAAAGGGATATTACGTTAATGCAGTTTTTATTTGGTCTTAAATGGTTTTAGAGAATTTGCTTCATTTTTACCGTATCTACCTTTATATTCCTTCCCAGTATACTAGATTCTAATGCCAGAAATACATAAAATTTAAAAACCTTTCCGTCTTTCTTTCATAATTCCATTTTAACTTCCTCTTAAATTACATGTGGAAAATATATAATTTTTAAAACTTATGTATAACATATTTTCATATAAATGCTGTGTACTATAGCTGAAGTACTACTCCAGTTACAAAATAATTCAAAACAAAAACTGAGCAGGCCATTAAAGTTATTGTAAACCAAATTATAAGCAAATCTAAGAGTTTCCTCAACAATTTCTAACTGAGAAAGAAGCATCACAACTGTTTTATATCAACCCTCTCCTCCCAAGAGCAACTGCATACAAAATTACTAAAACTTTCTAGCCTTGCAAAATGAAGAGTTTTTGGAGTTCCAGCTTCAAGATGGAAAATGGAATATACTTTGCATCCTGATTCATTTCTTAATGGAAAATAGAATAATTAAGCACTATTTCTCTAAAAAGACCTAAGCAGACTAAAGGAATGTAAAAACTATTAAAGATGAGTGGGTGCTCGGTTGTTCAAAGAACAATCAAGTGTGAAAAGAGCGTACGAGACTTCATAATCTAGCCTCAGTTCACCCAAAAGCTTTGTTTCCTCAGGTCAGGTCCCAACAAAACAGAACTTCTTTCAGTTTCCTAAGCTTTTATGTTTTTGGTTGATTATCAGCTTTTGTAATTGATCTTTCTTCTGCTAGAACGTCTTCCCATTCCAGGATTACCATCCTTCTCCAACTCACCCCTTATCTAATGATTCCTGAATGTCCTTTTTCTACAAAGCTTCCACTAGCTTCCATGCCTGGCTCTGGTTCCCTTCCTGAGTTTCCATCTGGGTACTTAGAAAAACCATTTTATAATTTTCTCTCCTTGATTCATCCCACACTAGGCCAAGCAGTAATATTATCAGATTATCCATAGTCCTCAAGCCTTAACTCCGTGCCTGGCAAATTGTGGATAATCAATAAGTATCCTTCTTAAAAATGATGCTTCACAAGTCACCCTACCCACCATTACAGAGGAACTGAAATGTGTATGGCCCTGACTTCAGAGAGGGCAACTATGGTTACAAGTAGGTGTAGTAAGAGATGATATACTAGTATTTTAATTTCTAAATGTGAGATTGAAGCAAAATGTTATGGGATTCCATGAAAGGAGAAAGCACTTCTGCTTGAATAGACTCCGAAGAGGAATTAGCATTTGAAAGACTAGGCATATATTGTTAATTAATTTTTAAATATTTTTGTCACTCTTAACTTTTGGACAAAGACCTTTCCAGTCTGTTTTCTTTACATTTTGATAAAGATGAATTATTTTGTACTTCTTGTTTAAAACTTAGTAATATAGCATAAACATTTTCCTCAATTTAATAAATTTGCAATTCTAATATGAATTTTAATTGCTACACATCTCCTTCATGGAAATACCATAATTTATTTAACCAAATCTCTAATAGGGGATATTCTGCTTATTTAAAAACTTTTATTGTGTTTACAATACCTTAGTGGATATCTATGTAGTTATGTTTTTGCATAAGCTGTGGTTATTGACAAAGCAATATTTGAGTATAGGGCATTTATATTATTACTAGAGGCCCAGTGCACAAAAATGTGTGCACTCAGGGGAGGTGGTCCCTCAGCCCGGCCTGTGCCCTCTTGCAGTCTGGGACCCCTCGGGGGATGACCACTTGCTGGCTTAGGCCTGCTCCCTGGGGGATTGGGCCTAAGATGGCAATCAGACATCCCTCTGGCAGCCCGGCAGCCCTCGGGGGATGTCCACTTGCCAGCGGGGAGCAGACCTAAGCTTCAGTCAGACATCCTTAGTGCTGCTGAGGAGGCAGGAGAGGCTCCCACCACCACTGCTGTACTGGCAGCCATCAGCCTGGCTTGTGGCTGAGCAGAGCTCCCCCATGTGAGAGTGCACTGACCACCAGAGGGCAGCTCCTGCATTGAGCGTCTGCTCCCTGGTGGTCAGTGTGTGTCATAGTGACCAGTCATTCCCAGTCTTTCTGCTGTTAGGGTCAGTTTGCATATTACCCTTTTACTATATAAGGTAGAGGCCTGGTGCACGGGTGGGGGCCGGCTGGTTTGCCCTGAAGGGTGTCCTGGATTAGGGTGGGGGTCCTGCTTGGGTGCCTGGCCAGACTGGGTGAGGGGGCTGATGGCTGTTTTCAGGCTGGCCACACCCCCTTCAGGGTGGGGGTCCCCACTGGGGTGCCTGGCCAGTCTGGGTGAGGGCTGAGGGCCGTTTTCAGGCTGGCAGGTGACTGAAGCTCCCAGCCTCTCCTTTTTTTCTTTTTATTTTTATTCTTGGATTTATTTACCTTCTATAATTGAAACATTGTTGCTGTCACTGGCGCTCCCAGCTCTGAGGCTACGGCCGGCTGAAAGCAGGTATCTGGGTTTTGTTTACCTTCTATAATTGAAACATTGTTGCTTTCGGGCTCAGAGCCGGGCCGCGGCAGGTGGGGAACCTTGGCTTCCTCCATCACTGGAGCAAGCAAGCCTCCTGCTTGCTTCAGCTGCATGGCTGCTGGCAGCCATCTTTGTTAGCAGTTAATTTGCATATCGCCCTGATTAGCCAATGGGAAGCGTAGCGGAGGTTCAGTTAATTACTCTTTTTGTCTTTTATTAGATAGAATTTTTAACCCTTAGTTGCCAAATTGTATTGTATAGGCCTTTCCTTTCCCTTTTGTTAACATTGATTATCACATTAGTTAAATTTATAATTTTTAAATTACTCCTGAAGTTAAAATTTTTATATGCTTATTGATTTAGTATTTAATGAATTTCCTATTTATAATTGTTTCCATTTTTCTGTAAGATTGTAGAAATTTTCATCTTTTTACTAATGTCTAAAAGCTCTTTATTCACAGAAGATATATGCCCTTTGCCAAATATTGGTTCAAGTTACATGAGATAAAGTTAAGTTCTATTTGTTTTAAAAATGATCTACTGAGTGATCTTTTTTCTTCTATCCCATCTACATGGAAGTAGTTACTCATTTATAGTATATATCAAATATGATTTGCTTTTCAAGAAGAAAAAAGAAACTAAAACTCAACTTCTAGTAATGAATCTGCTGCATCAAGTAAACATGAAAACATACAAAAGTGGGTTTTTTTAAAGAAATATTTTAATGTCGTCCAGAAAACTGCAATTAGTCCAGATCATTCAAGTTCTTTTGTAGGGTTCGGTTTGGGTTTGGATTCCTCAGCCAGGTCTATCTTGTCTGTTCACTCAAGTTCTCAAGAGAAAATGACAAGGTACTTAGGCTCTTTTTTTCCAACTAAACAGAACTTCTGCCTGATTCTGCCTCCTTTTTGTATAGATAAAATGGACTAACCCATCAAAAGGAAAATATAAAGTTTCCATTGATTATTTCCTTTGTCCAGTCCTAATCTTCCAGTTTTTTTTCTTCCTAACCTGGTGCTACTGCAGAAGGCCTTTTACCTAATAGAATAGGGATGCAGATGTCAGTTCATTGACATCACCATAATTAATTTCAATGAATATTTGGGTTAAAAAGCATGTCACAAAGAATAAGTTACATTCTTTAAATATTTTTTCTTAAGTAAAAATATGGAAATGTTCACAACTTTCAAATTGAGATGAGACACCTAGTACTTTCCTTGAGTATGATTCCATTGCCTGGAGTTCCACATTATCCCTCTTTCATAACCTCATCCATAAAGCATCATCAATTTCACAAGTTTGAATTTCTTTTTAAAGTAATAACTTCATGATACTCAAAAAGCTATTCGAGTGCAAAATCCTCCTGGATATTTACAATTTCTTCCCCGACTTTGACCAAGTTGTATCTCATCGATAATGTGTTTTAAGATTTGCCTTTATCTAGGCTTTTCAAATAATTCAACTTATACATGAGCCAAATTTCTTTATTTTTGGCTTTATGTTATATTTAAGTCACCTAATTTTAAAAAGTACAGTGGAAAGAAATAGGATTGTGAGCAAATACAAATGATCTTTGGTAAAAATATAATCCAGCAAGTTTGCTCAGATATGTAAGACATAAGATAGGTATCAGTCAGCCCAAAGTACAGGGGAAAGACAGGCCATTTATTAAACTAAACATGTGTCTGGGTGCAGATTGTTTAACAAAATTTCTAATGACATTGTACT